CCTCCTAATCTATATTTTCATGTTTTTCTAATGGACATGTTCCATATTACTTACACCCTTTTGCACATAAAGGAACTGTCCTCATTCCTCCTGTGAATCAAAAGGAAACACCTCTTTATGTAGGGTGTGTGCTACCATTGTTCCTGGGCTTCTAGAGTCATTGTGATATTCTAGCACAAAATCTGCAGGGTGGAAGCATGTTAGGCAAACGCTCCCCGCCTTCTTTTCTCTAACAAAAATTCCATCAGCCCTCTCTGCAACCACTTTCCTCCTCCTCACCTGGGATGATTCCCACCTTACTTCCACAGTGTGGAGACAAGGCCCCAGGCAAGCTGCTCCCGGTCCCAGAGCCCTGAGTCCTTGCTACTCCCTGCATGGCTGCTACCTGCAGTCCCCTGGCACTCCAAACACCCAGCAAATGGTTCTGGAGGCAGCCACATGTTCTGCTCCGTTGCTTCTCAGGTTGGAGGCAGCGAATGAAAGTAGCTTATGGACATTTGAAGCCATGGAGAAAAGGTGGGAGATATTTCAGAAATCTCAACACAGGACCTTTTTGTGTAATAATAGTTTGTGTACGATGAAGGTTTAGTCTTGTTTCTTGAATGGCAAATTGGAGGTCTCAACTGCCTATTCTGGATATATATTAACTGAATGAACAAACGAAAGAAAAGAAAGAGAGAGAAAGAGAGAGAGAGAAGAAAGAAAGAAAGAAAGAAAGAAAGGAAGGAAGGAAGGAAGGAAGGAAGGAAGGAAGGAAGGAAGGAAGGAAGGAAGGAAGGAAGGAAGGAAGGAAGAAAGAAAGAAAGAAAGAAAGAAAGAGAAAGAGAGAGAGAAAGAAAGAAAAAGAAAGAAAGAGGCTTCCTATTATCCTGCAATCACATAGCTAATCGCTAACTCAAAGTGGTGGCTTGTGGGGAGGGGAGAGCAATACTGGGGAGTAGCTTGGTCATTTGGTACCAAAATAAGCCCTGACACTAAGGTATGCAATAACTATAATGTGGCTAGTCAAAGAATGGCCTATGGAGTGGCAGCATTACAGTCACTTGCGAGTTTTTTAGAAATGCAGAATCTCAGGCCTCACCCCAGGGCTGCTGGGTCAGAATCTGCATTTTAACAAGATCCCCAATGATGCACATGCATGTTCAAAGTTTGAGAAACACTGCCTCAGAACACATACACGCATTCACCAAGACAAAGCTAGTGCCTCTGCTCTTCTGTGTTTCCATCAAACAATCAAGGGGTTGGATCATTCTTCACCACAGGGCTGCCCGAAAGCCTTCCCCCAAACTGCTTCAGGGAACAGAGCTCACCAAGAATAGACCCTATGCGATTTGTCCCAGGTCTCACCTTCACTCTTTAGGGACTGAGCCCAGCACCACACAATTCAAAGTGACAGGTGGGATTACACATTAATGCCCTTGGGCACAGTCACTGGATAGATAGAGTGCAGAAACAACCAAAAAGACAATACAAAGGAGAAAATACTCTTAAAACACAGCTCAGCCAAGTAAAAGCAAGACCTATCACCGACATTTGTAAAAACGATTTACCACATGTGCCTAATGACAATCATGATTAAGGAAATAATTTAATATGCAGCTAATTACTTTGTAAAGGTTTATTTGATTACATGATTTGTAAGTCTAAATTCATAGCCAGGGCTAAAATTTGAACTCCTGCCTTCCAATCTTCAGGATGCACATGTAAATAGGTTCCCTGCTGAGAACTTTAAAAAGGCGAAAGAGCTTTTTACTCTTAAATCTAGGCAATGGTTTTGATAAAAGAGAGGGAAAAAAAGGTCTTTAAGCATCACTGGCTCTGAGAAGGGCCTTGCTGTGAGCACCAGACCCTACTCATCTTTCTAATTTCTAAGTCCAAATGAAGTGTCCCATCCTTTGAGAAGTTTTCCCAGAAATCATCATTCCCTATTCTGTTTCTCATGGCATTTTCTTTAGACTTCTATTATGGCTCTTAGGGAGGCAGGAGAACTTACGCATTAGGAACCCAGGCTTTGCAGCCTAACTATATAGGTCTAAATTCCCCCTCTGCCTATTACTAGCTGTGTGACCTTGGCCACATAACTTCATTTCAAAGCTGTAAGATGCAAAAATCTATGTCATAGGTTTACCGTGAAGATTATGTGAGACGATGCATATAAAAATTACAGTGCCCGGCACATCATAAATAATCAATGTTAGTGATTATTACCAGCACTTCACAAAGTCTAACTGTAATTAGAGTTGGTTGTATATATCTATCTTCCCCACTAGACTGTGAGCAAACTGTTTATACCCCACACATCTGGCATAGCGACTTACAAATGGTAGACACACAATAATATTTGTCAAACTGATTTGAAGGTATGTCAGGAAGAGGAAAGGGAGGGTGCTAGAAACAAGTTTAATGTACTTTATTTTATCCAGGGCTAACTTCTGTAGTGTTTGTTTTTCTCCTATTACCAGAGTATATTGTCTCAGACTATGCTATAAAATGGGGCTGGAGAGACACTATTTCTGGAACCGAATGTTCTGTTCAGAGAAAGTGAGGTTGTGCTATGAGGCATCTGAAATCTCCAGTTGTTCCCCGGCTGAGGGGGACATGGGGGCTGAAGTTCAGATGGAGCTAGACTGGCCAAACTGGGTGCCCTGGCCTGGGGCCACATCAGCTCTGAATATCACCCACCTAGTGAGGAAGCATTTCGTTTCTCAGTATATCCACTTAGGAATGTCTTTATAGATAGCACAAAAGAGCTGTATGTACCAGCAGGAGCTCTACAGCAACTCAAAGTTCTCCTTTTTAACCAGCATGCTGACTCTTGGATGAACATCAACTAAAATAATACTTGACTTACTAAATATTTATTGAGTGCCCATTACATGCTAAACATTGCTCTAGACATTGCAGATCCAAAGGTGAATAAAGAAATTATAGTCGGAGAAGGAGGAGGCAATGCAGAGGGAAGGAATGTATACAAGTATGATAAGCCACCTTAGGAATTAAGGGATGAGGTGTAGAAACATCCTAGATAGGGCCTAATCTAATGCTGGAAGGCTTAGAGAAGGCTTAAAAGGAAACTAACAACCAAAATAAGGCTTGAAAGAGTGATCACAACAGCTAATGTTTATTGAGCATATACTATATGCATGAGGCCCTGTTCTGAGAACCTTGCATGAATCCTTCGTTTAGTCCTTACAACTCTATGAGGTAGATATTATCATCCTCTTCATTCAACGGATGAGGAAACTGAGGCACACAATTAGTAATGGCGGAGCTGAGATTCAAACCCAGGCAGCTTGGCTCCAGGCTGAAAGCAAAGGAGAGAGCCAGAGAGGTCTTACGGTAGAGTTAAGTCCCTTGCAGCAGCAGTCTGGGAGGGAAAGAAGCAAGGTCTTTTTTAGGAACCGAAAGTAGCTGGGGTTGGGGACGTAAGTTCAGAGATGACTGGGCTTGTTCTGCAGGTTAGAAGGGAAACCAGAGGCAGGGGATGTCTTGTGTAGTCTAGCTGGATGATTCTTGTCACCTAACCCCTCCTGGCCTCAGTCTCTCCTTTCTGTAAAAGGCGTAATGACAATACCTGGGCTCTACCATAGAGAGGGGCTCTGAGCACCAAACGAGAAAAAAAAAAAAAAAAAAAGAAGAAGAAGAAGTATGTGAACTTGATAGGAAAGCACAAATTCCTTCCCAGACTGGAGATTTCATCAGTATCATCTCTCCAGTAGCTTCAAGAGTTTGCAAACCCGAGATCCACAGTGTCAGGGCAGTAGCGGGAGCCTTGGAAGTGGAGCAACACTGTAGGGCGGAGAGGCGGAGGTGGGGAGTAAAAAGGCCCGCGGAAGCTGTGTCCGATCACCTGCATCCAAATTCAGCACTTCAACTGCGAGATCCCAAGGCAAGCTACTCTCCCACTGCCTCAACTCTGCCATCTGAAAAATGGGGATGGTAACGTAGCACTCATTTCCTAAGTCGATGTGAGGAATAAATAACACGTGTCACATGCTTGGAACGGCTCTCGGCACAGAGGAGATTTAGTAAAAGTTAACAGCTATCATTATTATCCTTATTAAGAAATCTTCCGGCTACTCATCCCATTCCTCCGTGTTCTATATGGTTAAAACGTGTGCGGATATTAGAAGTTAGAGATAATGAAGAAGGTTTGCAACCTTACACACCCACACTGCATCAGAGATTCTTCCTGGCTCCTACTGGCTGGCAAGCAGCTGGCTCTCCGGGCAGAAAATGCCCAAAAGAGGTAAAAGATAGAGACTGCACACCATCTGTGCAAACCAGGCTGCTCTTGTAGTTTTTAGACAAAATCTAAATATAGTAAGTCAGATATGCCTCGCTTTCTTAAGATAAAACTGTCCTTCGCCCTCCACCTTTTCTCTCCCCTCCCTCCCCCATACACATACACACTCCCCCACACGTCCCAAGAAACTTTCGGTCTTTTGCAAGACATACTGTGGGATCCTGTTGTGATAGCCTCTTGCCACATTAACTTCTCTAACTCCCTGCAGAGAAGCCTTTACTAATTCCACAACAGGCAAGCACGCAGGAAATTCGAGAACAAAACAAATCTACACACGGAGCCCAGCATCTTCAAGCAAATACGCCGAGGTACAGACCCGACGCGAGATGACTCTGGACTGTAGATGAGGCAGCTCTTAAACTGCAAGGGGACCAAAGAAGTCATTTGCCTCTGAAAAACCAGCTCTGAATACAAATGGTAATGAATAATTCATGAGTCCCTTCAGCTGCCTCAAAGCCACCCTTGACTATAACCTCGGGGCTTTGCTTCCTAAAAAGCTTCCCGAAGTTGTTTCTCTGCTCCCTCTCAGAAGGAGAGGGTGGGAAAGTTCATTTCGGGTTTTTTGCCTCTTGCTCTTTCAAGTACTCGCTTTTGGTCTGGGC